GGTTGTGTCAGTCTAATCCTGTGTACTTATGTCCCAAGAGAAAAAGTATGGGGATGTTTTGGTGTGTGTGTGTTTACTATTCAGCTGGACAGTGTTATTACTTAGAGTCAAAGATATATGATTCACCATGTTTATGAATGAGTTCACATGCTTGACTTCTTTCTTTTTGGTACAACTTGAGGGCCTGATAGGAGTGATGTGGTATTTTAAATTTAGTTACTATCACTAAATTATCTTCCAATTTAGGGATATTATGAATTTTTGCAAAATTGATTTTCCTATTTTCTTTTTCTCTATAATACAAAATTAGTAGACAACTTTTAGAGAGAAAATGGGGGGCATGAAGAAAATAAATATGCTTACTTAGTAGTGACATCCATTACTCTTTAGTTCTCTGTTATTATCTTTGGAACAGAAAGTGGGAGAAAGGATTTCCTTCCTCTCTCTCAAATATAGCCTCAGCAACTGACTGGCTCTCTGCTCTGGAATGAAGAGGTTGGCATGACTCCATAAGTCTTATGTGGGAACAAGACACCAGAGGCTTCTATTTTTTACTTATTGTAATTCCTTTGCTTTTAGGTTAGTATTCTATCCTTTAACCATCCCATAATCAATTCTCTTAACAGACATAGAGAATTTGTTAGTATGTGTTAGTGTGCCTTTTATTTTCTTTATTAAGCATTTGTTACACTCTTGGCAACAGCTTTTAAGTTCTTACATATTAGTACCATGGTTCCTTAGTATCTAATTATAATGTATTATCATGGTTGGGGTAAATGACTTCCCTAGGTGAAATAGATTCAATGTGTTAGATAAAAATGTGTGAACTTGAAGGCTCTCTGTCTGTTTTCAAATCAGATGAACATTGTGTCTGTACTTCTTATGGCAGCCTTTGAAATCCAATGGCAAATTGATTTGGGAAAGTGGAATTCTATAGAGAGAAAATTATCTTTCCACAAAAACCACACTTGTTGATTAGTGAATTATTTAGGACTGTCACTTGCAGAATTTAATGGATTAAATTCTATGAGTAAATTTATAACTACTCTTCATTGCAACAGGTTTCATTTCATAACATGAGAAAAACGGGGTAAATGTGACCAGTCAGTGGGAACAAAGCCAAGGAAAGTAAAGTAGAACCTGAATTTAAATCAAGTTTTCCTTGCATTTCTGCCTATTCTTTTCATGACTACTCTTCCTCCTTTTCACATGTACTTGCTTTGCAAAGTACTAACATTGGTAACTTTTTTCTACTGTTAGCTGTTGGAGAGTTCATATAGTCTCATGACTTAACATAGCATGGATACACGGCTACATCTCTTATCTCTTGGCTTGCTTTTTCTTCTGAATTCCAGGATTTTAAATTTCTAGCTGGCCTTGGAACTTGTCCATTCTCATGCGTTTCCACATACACCTCATACCACAAACTCATCACACCTAATATATGTGTGAAACTTGCTCATTGGTGTGAATATTAAGTTTTGATCCCAACATGCAACGGCTTAAGGAGGTAGCAGGTTGTTTTCAAGATAAAATGAAATATATAAAAAGTGCATTTATAATTCAAATAAAACAAAGTGTATGGTAGTATTTGTGCTATGAATAAATCATTTTAAATAAGGAGTACCTATTCCCTAGTCACTCAATCTTCCCTTTTACCCAGAGCATTGTTGTTTAAATTATTATTATTATGATCTTAGTCACAAAGAGAATTGAGATTGTCAAGGCCTTTAAATGTTGGTTCTGAAGGCACCAGGGGGTATAAAGAGAAATCACTGAATGAGAGTTTAAGAGATCCTACATTTGGAGCCAAACTCAGAATTGGAAAATAAAGAGGAATTTATTGTACCCCTACCCATGAGACACACCACGGAGAAAAAGAACAGGTCACCGCTGCAACAGCAAACTCGAGAGTGGACCGTAGCCTGGACCCGAGCCTGGACCAGAACGCTACCAGGCACATCTGGTTAATAGGAAGGTCCCCGAGCAAACGGGAACACAGCTTATATAGCCTTTTTGGCACACAGGCTGGGGCAATTTCTGATTGGTTGACCCTGGTAGTTCCTGATTGGTTGACCTTTACATACTTTCTATATATGGCGTGGTTGGCTGCTGGCCATTGTGATTGGCCCCCTAAAATGGCCAGCTCACGTCCCTCCCACACGTCAATCAAGAGAAATATCTGCTCCTCCTCCCTAAAATGGGGGGTCTCAGACCATGACGTAAGTCATGTTCTTCAGAATTACGTGGTGAGATGGAAACAGGAAAAAAAAAATTTGTATATCCTAAAATGTGTGGGAGATTGGTAAAGAGGATAAACAAATTACCGGTAGTACTGACAAATTTCCTTCTAGAAACTTATCCTCGAAATTAATTTGAGAAGTAATTTTAAGTATGCTTTATATAATAGAGAATACATCAATTTAGAAAATTAAAGATATAACATTTCTTGAAAGAATTAACGCTTTCTACATGGTTACCATTAGTTATTATATACCTGCTACATTCAGGTATAAATATATATTTTTTTCATTTATTTTTTTCATTTATATCTTTCACATGATTGTGTATTCCCTGTAAAATTCCCACCACCAATTCACCCGTGAACCCATCACCACAGTCCCTTGGGCTCTTCTCTCCCCTGTTTTGGTCCCTTTTCTGCCTCCTCCATAACAGAATGTCTCTGACTTATGGCTGTCTGCTAATTCTGTTGATTTTATTATTACTATTAGTAGTATTGTTTTTCTTTCCTGATCCCTTATTTGGTTTCCCCTAATGCCTCCTATAAGTGAAACCATTCTATATTTTTCTTTTTCCTTTGGGCTTATTTCATTGAACATGGTCTTTTAGTAAAAACTCACAACTTGTTTTCATTATCAGAAGTAGAATTCTCTCTCTCTCTTTTTTAAATTTATTTATTCATACAGAATTGGGGTACAGGCCAGAGATGCAGAGGGTGAGAGGATTCACCAGGGACAGAGTGGGGAGCAGAACAGGCAGATGGACGAAGTACATTGCTGAGGGGAGCAGCGGGCGGGTCAGGAGAGGTCTGCCTCGCCATGTGGATCTCCTCTGGGGCAGGCGAGGATCGAACTCATGCGGAAGTGACTTTAGCTTCTTTGTGCTGTGCCTTAACTCGCTGCGCCACCAGGGACAGCCCAGTAGAATTCTCTTTTAACAGAGAAGAGATATAGTTACCTTTTGGAATCACAATTGAAGAAAATAATAATTATTTCTTTTCTTTTTTGGAAAATTTAGTACGTTAGTGTAAGGAATGGGTCTGACGACAAACTGAGAGCATAAAAAGCGAGATTATGTTTCACTTTAGATTTGTTTTATTTTTGACATAGTTAACTTAGTTAACTTGATGTTTGTCATTATTGCTTCAGTGAAGCATAGAAAACATCTTCAGTCAAGATAAATTTTTGGTAGTTAATGATTTTAGCTAATTAGATAGTAAAATCTTTATTTATAGAGTAAATCAGGCAAGTCAGTGTTCAGGCTTTTCCAAACATTTTAAAACAAAGAATTTGTCGCTTTTGTGAAGATTTTTTTTAGTCCTAACACTACATGCTCATGATAAATATTTGGAATTTACTTTGAATTTTTTCACGAGGCTTGGAATCTGTAGTTGGGGTTTTTGTTTGTTATTGTCCCAGAAAAGCATAGGGTTGTGGAAAGTCAGTCTAATGGGTGAACCCAATTCTGCCACTTCTTAGCTTCATAGTGCTTTTCCTTCACTACTATCCAGATGCATCTGATGACTCTGGTAAAGCAAGAAATAATGATAGATTTTGTCATGATGAGAAATATTAAACATTAATGTGGGCTATGTGAGTCAAATTTATACGGGTAAAGTAAAACGGGATATTTTAAAACACATTTAATAAAGAAAGTTGAGAAGGTGTGTCCTACTTCAAGTATAACAATATCATTGGGTGCAGGGCTGTGGGCTTTCAGAATCAAATGACACCCTCTGCTGGCTAAGTGAGGGAGTGCGTTTAAAAATGCGTGGCTTCATCCTCCCTCAGCTACTCTTTTTTTTAAATTAATTACTTTTTATTCTTACATCATTGTTCACTTTTGGACGGTATTTGATCCCCCTCAGAGTTAGTCCCTTCAGTTCTCCTGTCACCAAGGCACACATGCACCATCACTGTAGTCCCTTGTGCTCTTCCCTCTCTGGGGTTTGTCCTTCCCTGCCCCGCCCATCCCTGCTTGACGCCTTTGTCTAAGGTCAGCTTGCAATTTTTGTCTTTTTCCTAACTCTTTCTTTTTCTCTGTATTCCACATATAAGTGAAACCATCCAACGTGTATCTTTTTCCTTCCTACTTGTTTTGCTGAGCATAATCCCAGCTCCATCCACTTTGTGGCAAATGGTGTCAATTTATTTTTTTTTTGATCACCGAGTAGCATTCTGTTGTGCATATATACCTCATCTTCTGGATCCAGTTCTCTCTTCTGGGGCATTTAAGTTGTTTTCATGTCTTGGGGTATTGTAAATGGTGCTGCTACTATTAGTTATTACATTAACTAGGCGTACAGGTTTCCTTTTGAATTGGTGTTTGTTTTTCTTTTTGGATAGACACCTAGGAGTGAAATTGCTAGATCAGAGAAAATAACTGGAATATTCTTAAACAAATTACAATTTTGAAAGGCCTAGGGATGTCTCAGATGGCATGGCTATTAAATTTTTTCTTTCTACTTTTATACACTTTTAAAGTCATTTTGGAATTTATAGTGTTTTGGGCACATGATATACACAAAACTGTTTGTACTTAGTCAGATGTCATTATTTCAGTGCAGATTTGTACACTATAATTTCAAGTCTGACTCTGCTGCTTGAGTCATCCTTCACTAGCATGTTGCTTTAAGAGCACCCATCCCCCCATCCTGCTTGACTCACTGTGTCTGTCAGTCATCCTGAAATACACTAGGGTGCTTGTCAGGCTGTTTGCTTACAGATGCATCATAAGCCAAATTCTGAGCCTTAATAGTGGCACTGAATTTCTAAACACAAGAAATTGCTTAGACAGTTGGTTTAGTATCTGCATATAGGCAATACTCTGTCCTGCAGTAGGTGAGTGAAGTGTCAAACTTTTTTAAATCAAATTTTGCTCTAAGGACAACCCTAATAATTATAGATTATCTGTTGCTTGCTTAGATAACTTTGGGGGACGTGAAAGGACATTATTTCTATAAACTGGGATGGCTGGAAACTACTATGTTGTAGACAGTTACAATTTTATTACTAATTTTCTTTTTAGCAGCACTAAACTAAACTACTTTAAGAAAGTTCCTATTTATAGTGTTTGCCTTTCTGAGTGGATTAGCAGGCATCAGATTTAGAGAAAAATGTGATTTTCTTCTACATTTTCTTTTCTTTTACAAACACTCAGGCAGACTCCATTGAGCAGAGGCTCAGTTCTGCTATTTGGAGTATATATAAGTGGTTTTAAAAATATCGCTAAAAAAAAGTCTCATGCTAGCCAAAGCTATCACACAGCCTTACATGAAAGCAAGAAAAAGTTCCTACTGTGCAACAAAGCCTTTACCATATGCAAGATACTGGAAATTTTACACTCTTTAGACATAAAAATTGCATGGCAAGTAGTTTATTTGTGCAAATAATTTAATCTCTGCTATGGGCCTTTACACTTAAATTGGGCACAGATGCTCTTCCTGTATTTTTTGATATTCATCCTTAAATATTTTTGAGCAAAGAATTGAAAAGGGGAAAAAACATAAACTCACCGATTCTGATATTTGTACATTCAGTAACGTAGAAAATAGTTAAGGGGCAACAAGGAGTTAAAGTTTTTAGGCTTTATCTAGGGTAAATGAGAAGAGATTGTTTCTACAGATACATAGAATGAGTATTCATTTATTCTTGTGCTAGAAAAGAGTTAAGGCAACTTACAGGCCTACATGAAATTCAAGATAGGGTAAACTGAAAGTGGGGTCAAAGAAGAAAGAAAGAAAAAAAAAAAGAATGGGGCTCTAAAACAGAGCCAGGAAAAAGGCAAAATTTGCAACAGTTCTTGATTCGTTTCATGACACTGGTATATGATAGATTGATGGGAAAGAAAATACGGGTTTACAGAAATCTTGTGGGAGAATTTCATGTATACTAGTGGTCTCTATTATCCATGGTAGCAGCCCAGAGTGAAGAGAATATGTTGGACTGTGAATATTAAATCCACTTAAATGTCACTTGTGTTTTGGTGGAAAAAAGTAGAGAATTGCTGTCCTTTTAACCCACACACTCACTTATGTAGACATCAGGGTGGCTCCAAGTTTTCTAGAAGCAGAAAACATTTGGTCTATTACTCAGTTCAGAAGAAAGTTTAAAGAGAATTAAAAAGATTTAGTTTTTTGGAAACAACAAGTAGTTTTCCAAATAAAATCAGACATCTACATATCAGAACAGACATGATCAAACCAATGTTGAAATAAAATACATTTTGCAATTTTGTAAGGCTATAAATTTCGTCCCAGTATTTTTTTCCTCTAACAGATTGTAAATGATATTAACTTTTCTTTCTTTTAATCTACTGATAAATTTAACTTCAATTTCAATTTATGTTAGGTCAAAATAAACTGGGTTAGTTTAACAGGGTAAAAGTGTTGGATTGGAGGAAAGAATTCGGAGGCATTACTTCTTAATGTACTTTGATCTTCAAATAGTGAAAAAGCAACTACAGTGTTAAAAACTCTGGCTTTGTGTTGTACACCACACTAAAGCAGCTTGTATAAGTGCATGAGTTAGAAATTTCTAAAAACTTACAAAGATAAAGTAAAAAAATTACAACCTTGTCATCTTATATTTGAGTTGGAAATACGAGCATGATCTCATTATATATTTTTCCTCTTCCTGAAAATTATGTATTTCCTATTTCTGTCCACACCCATACAAGATGGGCAGCAATGACATCCTGATGCAAAGATTATGTTTCCTAATAACTGGAACGAGGCTTACTGGTGGAAAGACTTGTTGAAGGTCTGCGGTGGAAAATGTATAAAATGAGCATGAAACATCTGATGCTAAAAAGCAAGACCTATTTGGTTTTTTTTTCAAGACTCAGGACCCAATTAAAATTTCTCACTGCACAAAGATGGGAAAATTTAAACATCAGAAAAAATGAAGATGTTCAAAGAATAAAGATGGACAATACACCAAAACATATCCTGTATCCCAGATCTGTACTCATAAATAAAAACTTAAAAAAAACCCATATCCTTTGTATTTTGCAAGGTTAGGACACCTTCTTAGTTTTCTGAAATTGACAAATGTGAAATAATTGACTATTTTTTTGACTTCCTGGTATGAACTTCAGGATGCTTTAGGATGAACCTGGTGTGCTTTAGGATATTTAAATAATAAAGGGGAAGAGTTCTTTATATACTTCTAACCAATGAAAACCAATAATTTTATTTACATATTATTAAATGTGGTTTAAAATTAATTTGACATTATTTTTGTCTTAGATAGTATCCCTTTAGAATTAGAATAAAAATACAGTTTTGAAGTCACTTGAAATTATTTGTTTCTGTGTAATTATGAAGTTAATATGATTGATTGTTAAGGCTTATCTTGCTTTTGTTTATATTTGACTTTTTTCAAAATATTGATTTGTGACTATTTCTAATTATGTAAAGCATTTACATGGTTCCTGAGTCAAAATTATAAAACCAAATACATTCAAGGAAGTGTAGCATTCATCTTTGTAAATTCTTTTTCTTCCGCTAAGGATAGTCATATATTTTTTAAAAAAAGATTTATTTATTTATTCATACAGAACTGGGGTACAGGCCAGAGATGCGGAGGGTGAGAGGATTCACCAGAGACAGAGCAGGAAGCAGAACAGGCAGATGGACGAAGTACACTGCTGAGGGGAGCAGCGGGCGGGTCAGGAGAGGTCTGCCACGCCATGTGGTCACCTCTGGGGATGGAACTCATGCGGAAGTGGCTTAAGCTTCTCAGTGCTGCTGTTAACCTGCTGCGCCACCAGGGAGGGCCATATTTTTGGATTTTTTAATACATTTTAATTTTAAATATAAGCAAGAATGATGATTTTTTTCTAATACCACCTTTTTTCTTAGGTAAATATAGTAAATACTGTTCTGTACCTTATTTTTTTCATTTAGAATGTATCCTGTAAATCACTCCAATGACATATATTGAGAGAACGTCTTTATTCCCTTCTATAACTGTATTCTTGTTTGAGTGGATATATAATTTTCTGTTCTCATTCATTCACTCATTCATCATTCATTCATTCATAAGCTAACCTTCTATAGGAATAGCTTTACCTATCCACAAACAAGGTGCAATATGAAGGTGTCTGGTTCTATACGGCTTTACTACAGTTTACTACTTTATTAATCTTGCATTGCTCCACTGGCTAAGCAGTCAGCAGGCACAGAAACGGCACCTCTTCATAGTAGTACTGCCCGCTCTCTCTGCCTCTCAAACTAGCACTGTATAGGGATTTTCCTCTTTGATACTTGCATGTATCCATCTCCTGTATCTTAATACTGAATCTAACAATCCTTGAATAGGGACTTTAGGTCAAGCCACTTGTTTTTAGAGAATATCATTTCCTATTGAAATGTACAAGTATTTTTACTCTCCTTTTAGAAAATTTGATCAAGATTTCAGTGTATTTGTAATGACACTTATTTTAATATAGAGATTATAATTTTAATCTTTTTTTGGTCTACCATTAGTTTTGATGGAAGGAAGTAAAAAAATGTGCATTTACTCTACCTGATATCATGCATTCTAGGATTGAAATCCTAAGAGATGACGATGATGATGAAGATGACGATGATGATGAAGATTCTTTTAGAGATCTGTATAAGATGTAGAGACAATGTAGTGTGCTTCCTTCTGACATGAGCACAGACGCATTTATGTGTATTAAGTTGTAAAGAGGATTGTCTTCCTTGAGCTCAGAAGAATGAGCAGATATGTCAAGTAGCTGCTGATAATGGGCTTTGCATACAGAGGAACAGAGTGAATGAAAGTTTAGGGCCCTGAAATAGGTCCATGAAGAAAATTTCAAACTCTGTGGAATGGATGGAGTATAAGAAGGAGATGGGGGCACTGGGGTTGGGTCGGGGGAGGGAGAGAGAGACTCAATAGCCTCAAGACTTTCAGTGGAGTCTGGCCTTTATTGAATCAGAATGGAGAATCATTAAGAATTTTAAGCAGGGAGTTAATGTAATATTAGAGAAATCAGTTTGGAAGAAAATAGTTTGAAATACAGCATTGGAAGAAAGAAAACCTCTTAAGGTGTGATAGTAAAGTCTAAATAAGTCATGAGATTCTGAACTAAGCAAGTAGCAATGGGGAAGGAGAGGAAATGGCCAATGGGAAAGAAATTAAGGGGCAGGTTCATTCTGACTTTTCCAGTAATTTGAGGAGAGATGCAGAGTGAAAGAAAATATTCTTAGATAATATTGAAATTGCTTGGTATGGTGCTCTATTCTTATAGTGATGTCATTAATCTAGAGAACAACTGAAGATGGTAAAAACTGATTTTGGGGACGAGGTCAGTTTTGAGATGCCCATCGGTAGTAGATTTGGGGACTCTGAAGTTCAGTGAGAAGTTTGAACTATAGACAAAATTTTGTGAAAAAGACTATTTTTTTTAATATTTGAAAGGACAGGTTATTATAGAAGTGTAAGGAAGTGAAGGATGCTTGAACAGACACAACCTGGCAGAATAAGCTGCCTTTAAAGGGACAGTTTGATGCAAGATGCCTCATATTCAAGTGTACAGGAGAGCTGCTGCAAATAAGAGACTTTAGAATGGAAACTCTAGGATAATATTCCTTGAAGAGAATAATCTGATATGAACAGTAAATAGCCTGGAAAGGATTGCTTCCAGGATAAGATTCCTACTGAACGTGAATTAGTAAGCTAGGAGGAATCAGAAAAAGACACTGGAAAAAATGGTTAGAAGTATATAAGAATGAAAATGGTGATTTGAAACCAGAGGAGAAAAGTTATCTATTTTTTTTATTTAGAGAATATTTAACATGTGGGCTGAGAAATAGTTTAAGCTTTCCTCA